AATTGACCCCCAAGCAGATGGGCAAAGGCTTTTCTTCTTTGAACACTCATTTCTTGAACTCCAGTTATGCTTCAAAGAAGCTCAGGAGTACCTATCAATCAGGAGGTTTTGATGAAGCTATTTTTTTAGTATTTATCACCTGTATTCCAAAAACCCAACATCCTTCCAATGAAATACAGCTCCCTCATGTAGGGCTCCAATTTCAAACTCCTGGCTGCCATGTCTAAAGACAGACAAGCATTAAAATAAAATATATATATGAGATATATATACGCACAAAGAAGTAATTGCTGCCCTAAGGAGCTGCAGAAAATCTCAAGGCAGAGAAGGTTTGCTTTCCAGAGGAAGGCTGCAGAGCCTGGATTCAAGAGCAAACTGGAAAGGACCTCTAGTGGGCTGAGGCTGTACTGCTCGGGTGCCAGACACGTCCTTCCCCTTCACCTCCCTGCAGCTGCACAACTTGCCAGCAAAGCCCAGCAGCTTTACCTTGTGACTGCCATCAGAAAAGGCACCTAGAGGTGCAGCCACAGCCTCTGTGAAAGACTCAAATGCTAAAGGTTAATGACTCAAACAAGATCATTAGAAATGTCCTCTCACTCTGCTCTCGGTGCTCGGAGGGACGTGCTGTCATTTGCTTCAGAAAAAAGCAGGAGATGGTTTCTATTTTACTGTGTAGGTCACTAAATGTCAGACCCCTTCAGAGTGGTTTTGTGTGGCCTAAATGACAGGACATCAAGGGACATTCAAAGATGCACAAATTCAGATGCACATTTGGAATGAGGATTTAGAATATTATACAGACTATGTCACAGCATTTCGTTCTTCCAAGATTTTTTAGCTGTAGGCAGTTTTGCACAGGCAGCAGAAACTTCAAAAATGCAGTTTAAATAGTGTAACTTTCTGAGTGAAAGAGCTTGGAATTCTTTATCTGAGCTCAAACAAAGCATAACTTCATGTGACACTATGTGACAAATAGATTAGGGAATGTATTCAGGAGAATATATAGATAATAAAGCAGGCCAGATTAAGGAAGGTTATTTATTAGGCTTTCCAGTTAAAAATAAAATATCTTGTTTTGAATGGAAGTTGATGATTCACCTCAAAGTCTTTAAAATACCTCTTTTGCTATATTTGGGTTTGCCTTCAAGTCAGACTGGTTCTATCATTCCCCAAAGTAGACTAATTTACATCTTCCACATTACAGGCCACAGCTTAGCTCTGTTTTAAATGACCTAAGCAATAACCTCTCCTTCAGCAGTTACCCTCAAAGTATCTGCATTAACTCAAGAGGGACCACAAATTAAAGCTGACATTGTTAAGGAGAGCAATGCAAGACAGCTGCTCATTATTCCAAACCAGCATCACCTACACTGCAGTGGTGCTCCTTGTGCCACTGAGCAGAGTGCTGGTCAGGAAGCCAGCCCTGTACAGAGAACAGCACTGGTACTTGGAGTCCAAGGCCACAAGAATGCACCTGGCTCTGCCTTGCACATGGAGCAGCAACAGCACTGCCCTGCCATCAATGAAAAGCATTCCTGAGAGTCACTTGAACCAAGCGTTCACACAGAAAATAGAAAATAAACCAAAGGCACCAGCAAGTTCATATCTCATCATCAGAGACCTGATCAAAGAGCAACCAGGGCTTCTCAAACTTCATCTTTTTGGTCCAACCATCATCAACTAGGACCACCTCTACTATCAGAATAATATAACTTACTTTCAAGGAGTGCTGGTGATGCCATGAAGTCTAAGTGTGCTTCCCTCCTATGTAGAAAACAGTAATCAAGGCAGGAAAAGAAAGCACTCATCTGTTTTGAAGGGTTCTGTGAGTTATTTTACAGTAAGAGTGCATGCAATGGAAATAGCCCCAAAAGAAACCTCTACAATAAAAAGAATAAGGAATTGAAGCTGATGAGGATAAGTTAAAAGTAAGGATTAAAAACACAACATCTTGTGAACATACTCCTTAACACCTTCAAGTTAAGGAATTAATTTCTCAGGAATAATGTCTTGAATCCAAACTGCTTTATGATATAAACAACAGCAAATGAAAAAAGAGTTGATCAAACTCTAAAAAGAAATTACAGGAAACCTCTGCTGAATGAGGTAGAACATAGTATATGAAAGAGATGCAGGTATTAAAGTGATTTCAGGTGCAATTAAAATCCCTTGTAAAGAGAGAATGGGGAAGAAATTAAAATGAGTTCTGCATTTTGCTTTATGTTACAGGACAAAATGTTGCCAGCAGCATGAAGGAAAAACAAACCAAGTCTTAAAACAGGCCAGCTTACATAAGAGGGAAAGACAGAAGACAAAAATATTTATGCGGTGTTCCTTTTTTCTGATAACAAACTTGGTAACTTGCTTGGACTCACTTTAAAATTGTCAAACCACTGCAGCCATGGAACTGGCAATTACTCCCCCAGATGGTTGCTTTTAACAACATCACTCTCATTTACTTTTCACTCTTCCATTAGTTCTGCAGCCAAGGACTGCTCACCTGGCAGACAAAGATTAAAATGTCATTTTGAAATGGCAGAATTTGTGAATTTATGAATTGTGTGTCCAGTGTTTATCCACCCAGTTCCTTCCTGTGTCTTTCCAATGAGAAAAGTTCTTAGTTACTGCCAAGACAGCTGCAATAACAAGTTTTCCATTATTACTGCTCTGACCAGGATTAATGTTCTGGGAAAAAAAAATTCAAACAGAACTCTGAGTATTTGTAAGAGCCTCTTAAAATTCAACTTCCTTCTGTGGCAAACATTAGATGACAATTCAGATACAGTAACAAAGTTTAAACTACCAAAATTTGCATTGTGGTGGGATTATTAACTAGAAAAATCTTACTCATTCTTTCATGCAGCAAAATCCTTGTACACTGCAATGTCTTTCCAAAGTATGTTTTTATCTTCCACAATGAGCAGACAAGCATCATACTACAATATCCCTTTCTTTCCATTTTCCTGTGTCCAAAAATCACTCTATTTTGCCTCCTTTCCACTAACTGGGGAACTCTCGCAGAATAAAGCAAGCAGGAAATGTTTGTATCAGTATCTCTAAAGTGAAGTGCATGCAGCCCTAGGTATTTGCAAGACAATCCACTGCAGGGCAGGATGAAAATGTCATATAAATATTTTAATTTATTAATAAATTATTAACAGTTTTCATTATTTAAATCAATAAAATAATATTTTAAGTAGTGTTTATCTCATCCTTTGTAAAATTTCTATTGTACATATTTTATAGTTTTCATATTACAGCATTATGTAATTTATAAATAAATAAGTGTAAATATATTGGAGGCTGCATGCTCAAAAAATACTTTACTGGTCCATAATGTTTGGGGATCATTGGTTTATGACTGCAGCACCAGGAAACTGAAGCAACATTTCCTCCTTTGCTAGAAAGAGGTAAAAATACTGGTGGGAACAACTGCATGCAGGGGACAGCTCTCAAGTGGGCTGCATTTCTCAGTTATTCAGCTGCAAGTTTAATGCAGCAACTGATTTTCCAGAAAGAGTTAAGTGTTCTAGCTCCCACTATATCTAGTAGCTGAACAACCCTTGACATTCCCATGGGATCCTGACTGGTGTCTGGAGGCTGCCAAAGCCCATTCAAAATTTCATTCCAGATGATTTAGGTTCAGGTCCATTGCTCTTCAAAGAGATTTAAAATTCTAAATACATAAAATACAGTTTCAGCAATAACTTGTGCCACTGCATCACTTGGCCAGTTTTTTAATGCAGATGTAGAAAGTCAGCCTATTTTTATATAAATTCTTTTTAAACATTCACCAGCAAAACAGCCCTGCTAGTCCCTTGACACACTTCTTGTTGTTGTATAAAAACACTTGCTGAATATATTCCATGTCTGTAATGCCCACAGATAAATATCAAGTAACTGAAACATTGAAGTTACTGAAACTCTGGGGAAATTTTATTTAGTGGGCATGCTCTATTAAGAAATAGTGAAGGAAAGCAAACCAAGTTGTCAAGACTCACTCTTTAAAAATCAGGTTATCCTGACAAATGGCTTCTTTCTACCATTTCTGTTGCAATGAGGATGACATCAAGCACTTAATTCAAGAACTACAGATTTTGAGATAAATTCTTTCACTCCACCTGAAAAGTTTCCAAGCAGCTCATAGCACTGATTGCAGTTTTCAAATTTTCAGTATAACATCCTCTAAAAATCAGAGTTCAGACATTTCTTATAAATAGCTAAAAGAACAGCTGATGTAGATTTTTACATGCTTCTCTCACATACTTTGATATGTGAGAACAATGAAACAGAAAACAACCAATTTGTTTTTCCAGTCACACATCACAGCTCTGGCTGTTCCTTTTCCTCTGTGGAAGACTTCCACACTCTTGTTAGCCTTAACTATGGCACCACACACTGTGCAACAGGAGAAGCAAAGAACACAAACACAAAATAGCTTCAGATGCTTGTCCTGCCTTTCCATCTCATCTACCTTTCCCTCCTGCCTTTGTGCTTCACAGTTGGATGAGCTTCATCAGCTCAACCATCCCTTTACACATGAATGTCACTGTTACATAACCCTCCTGTCCTCCTAGGTAAGGATCTAATCCCACAGCCCTCCATATGTGGCAGCTTTCACACTGTCCTCATCACAAAGACTTCCAGGAAAGTGCAGCTTCAACATGAAATCTGCCTTCATTTCCATCTTCAGGGAACGCTCTTCGAGTGTAATGGGGCCTCTCTTAACCTGTCTTTTCCAAATATTTTCTGCCAGCTTATTTTAATTTACTGATTTTCTTCTGAATATATTCTTCTCTTTGCCCTTAATGCCCTAGTAAAAGAGCAGCCAAAGGATTTCTGCCCTCATCAATTTTTCAAAAGACAACTGAACTTGGGTGACACTGCTACACTGTGTGCCCAGCCACTACCAGTGAGAAAGAGCACTGCTTGCCTGAAACAAAGACAGCTTACAATCTGCTGTTTGGGTGACATATGTTACTGCTTTTTAAATATCCTACCTGTCTGTGCTACCAGGTGGGTCCAGCCACTCCAGACTGCTCCAATCTTTTCATGTGAGAAGCACTGAGTGTCAATCTTCTTAGGCTCAGCAAGAAAGATGTTCCTGCTCACCAGCTGCCCATGTTTGTTGCTGCCCCAGACATACAGATGTCCTTCATCTGCAACAGACAGAGAAGCAAAATCTGTTTAAAGGGATACAGATTTAATACCATCAGATACAGTCTCAGTTCAGTGATGCTGAGGAAAGAACATTTAATTCAATTTATGTTCTCACTGTATGCATTTTCCTACCACTCCACCATTGCAACTGGGTTATGAGAAATATTTGCAAGGGCCTTAACAGCACAGCCTATTTTCTGAGGGCTACACAGACTCCCTGAAGCAGTGAGAGCCCTTTCAGGTCAAACAGCCTAGATGTTTATAACAAAGACTAATTTTTATTTAAAAACTAACCACAGTAGTCAACTTCTCTGAGTAAAAAAATCAAAGCATCTTGGAGACATTCAGTGAGCCTTCTCTCTCTGTCCAGCCTGTCCTTGCAGACCAGCTATTATTTCCACTCCAAAGCTTTGATTACATCCAGTAAATAACTTTCTGGACTGCAGCAAATAATTCAAAGCCTGGCTGGCTGCTCTTGCTCTGCTTTACAGTCTCCCAGCCTCTCTACAAGAGCCAGACTCACAGCTCTGCTCATACCAATTCTGCCTCCTTCAACTTCAGCAAATTCAGTAAATCCCCCAAAGCAAGGACAGTCCAGTGCTCCATGGCTCACCTTGAACAGTCACTTCCTAAAGGAATTGGACATGCAGCTCTGAACACACAACTGAAGCAGGCACCACCCATCACAAGGCAAAATAAAAATATTATTGTGCCTCAAAATCACACCAGACAACACCTGAGAGACTTCTGTAAGTGGTCACTTGCCTTCCACATCTCTTTTCTAAAACAGGTATTTGTTCAAATGCACACTCCAGGATTCCAAACAGGAATAAATCTTTTCACAGAAATACCCACCAGTCCTTTACATCAATGCAAGCTGGAGTTGCTCACAGCCTAACAACCAATGGACACTGACACAGTGACTGCCCAGAGAAGTCCTTCTGCAGACATGACATATCATTAGTTCCATCTTTTCAGGACAAAACCATTCCTCCCAGCTCCTAGGCCTCCACAGTAGAAAAAAAAAACCACAAAAACCACTTGACAACAGGAACTGTCAGGCCTCCCTGAAGCCTTTGCCAGCTGCACAAGCTGAAAGTGTAAGAAATATATTTTGCACACCTGATCTTGCACATTATTATGGGCCAGAAAGACTGGAAGCCATGTAAGTTCCAACACGGAATTGTTTGGAGCACACCTCCACAACATTCAAGGCATCAGGATGTCTCAGGTCAGCACTGAACTCATTACAAGCACCATGACACAAGTAAATTTTTCAGAGGGAAAAGAAGAAAAAAAAAAATAAAACTTAGGCTACAGTATATTTAATAACAGCAATAGAGTAGGCCAGGAGAATTCCACTATACTACTGCTGGTGAAAAATTGGCAAGGAGTGGGAGGAGAAACCAGTACTGACAGTCATCTGCGGGACTCCTCATGTTCCTCTTTAAAACAACACAACTGAAATAAAAAGGAAAAACAAGTCAAGCAATTGTTTCATTCAAATATTCGAACTCTCCACTAAAATTGATAAATTCCTTCCCAGCATGAAGTACACACACCTGGAGAGGAAAAGAAAAGAAAAGAGTGACAGAAACACAAAGAAACACTGTGGCCATTCATATTCCACACTAACATGCATTGCCTCTGTCACCTCCTTTTACAGGAGGTGTATTTGCTTCATCCTGGGAAAAGTAACATGCTCAACCCTTATCTTATATCTTGAGCAGGTCTGAGCAAAAACTGAGACACTAGACTTAGACTTAGCACCATATTCTCACCCCTGGGGGGTTCAGGCCCCTTTGGATACCAGCAGACTCTACCATCCTTTTTTCCAAGGAACCCCCACCCATGTCTGTGAGAACCCACATCAACAGTTGTGTCCCAAACCTGCCTGGCTGCAGGCATTTGATGTCCCACCAGCAAGGGACTCATGGAACAGAAGCAAAGAAAACTGCACCACAGTGCAAAGTATTCCTAGAAAAAAGGGCCCATTTTAATAAAACACACCCTGCAGCAGTATTTTTATTATATCAAGCATCTTTAAAATACAAAATATTTAAATAATAACTATCTTGCAGGGCAGCAACAGTATCACATTATCAAAGTATTTGGCATTTATTTTTTCAATCTTGGTCCCAGTGCTGCCAAATAGACCGCTCTCTTGAATCAAAAGCAAAAGCATGAAAGAATGATCTGCTCACTGTCTAAATAGAGACTGCCAATTATCTAAAGTAGATTTTATTTGTTCTTACAGTTTGTCTTCACTAATCTTGCATACACTTTGCATCTCTGAATTCAATACAATTTACATCTTGGAACATCTCCCCATACAACTAAATCTCTATAGATCTGCAGAAGCAAATACTCCAGTGCTCCTTTAATGATGACAGAGGTACCAGATGGCTGCAGATTTGCTAAGAACTTGTTCCTGTGAAGTTTGGCAAAGACTTGTCTTCATAAGGTTCAATATATTTTACACACTTCAAAACTGTAAGATTACAGCATGAAAGCTATTCTGTTTCCCCTTCTCCCAATCTGTCAAAATAAAAAGAAATCTTTATTAGACTTTCATTACTGGATAGTCAGCACTCCAGCATGGGAGCACAGCCCAAGGATCACAGAACAAATGGCAGACATTATGGAAGTGCCTAAGCAATTAAAGCAGCTTCCTACTCTTCAAATAAGCTTTGTGCTCTTACACCAGAGATGTGCACACTGTCACAGTGGAGCCCAAGACACCTCAGAGAGCTCCAGGCCTGCTCACAGCCCTGCAGTGCCCCATGCACAGGCATCAGCTCACGCTGCTGGTGCTACCCTGCTGCTGCCTTTCCTGGCACAGCCACCCAGCACAGCTCTTCTCCCTGGGCAAAGGCTGCACTGGCTCCAGCAGTAACCATACCCAGGAGGGCATCCTGCTGCAGCTCCAGAGAATTACAAATCCTTTCAGACTTTCCAGCCATTAAGAGCCCAGACCTTGAATAACCTAAGGGCTAAGGCCTGACCCCAAGAAAAACCCACAAAACTCAGAGAACCCGAAACACAAATCCTGCTCTTAAAACAAAAGGAAAGTTCTCAGAGTGCAAAACTATTACAGAACAACTACCAGCACTAACCAGGCCAGATCAATTTTCAGCAGTTTTACCAAAACTGACAACATCTCAGAGGCAGAGAACCCTTAGAAGGGTGAGATGAGCGCTTTCACCTGTGCACCTGAGACCTACCTGTGAGGGACACGGAATGACAGGAGCCTGCAGCAACTGCCTTCACCTTTACATCTTCCAGGCCTGGAAAAAAACATGGTAGGATAAAATTTCTACAGCAGGCATCAATTCACACACAAACATGCATACAAGTGTAACAGGATGGAGAGGACTTTTATAACAAAAGGCTCTTTCCTTGGGCCACACACATGGCAGGACTCTCATGTTCCCCACAGATCACAATTTTCTGTGACCTGAAAATTATGTCCTCAGGTACTCCACTCCACGTTTACAGTACCACGTGGCTTTGTAGAAAGGAAGATATGTACCACTCCAAATTAAATTTCTGCTCTATCCACCCACACAAAGGAAGCAGACTCCTGGGTTACCTGCCACTTCACAGGGCTCCTTGGCTGTCAGGAACACAGGGAGGGCTTTGCCTTGGCTTGCACGCCTTGCCTGAGATGCCATCCCAGTCCCCCACTGCAGCACCAAACCGCTGTCTTTTCAAAGTAAACACAAATAAAAGAGATTAAAACCCATCAGCCACCAACAAAAATCACCTCACACAATAATGAACATGTGAAAGTTCAAAATTATTTCATTCAAGTCATTTTCACCAATTCAAATGACACTTCAGAAGACCTTTATGCCAAAAAAACATTCAGATAACCCTGGTGAAGCCATCTAGCAACAAACAGCTGTAGTCTCAGTATGCAGGTAAGAAAAGTAAAAAGGTGGGAAGCTACTGGAGACTCAGTAAGAGAAATCCTGTGTTTGCAGTACCTCAGGAATGGACACAAAGTTCCTGTACTTTTTCTTCCCTTTCCCCCTCTTGATACCAATTTGTCTGTGCAGCACAGGGAATCTCAATTCCCATATTATACAAGCACCAGAGATCCCACTGTTCTTCCAAGCATCTCCTGTGCACTTTCAGCTCCACTACCTGGAATCCATACTGAAATTCACACAAACTAAACTAAACACAAGAGTTGTGTTTAGTTGGCACAGTTTGTTTTTCCTCAGTTTTAACAGAAGCATGCTAAAAGGGAGAGTTTGATTTCTACTGTTACACCATGAACAAACTCAGAGTATCTAATAACAGCAGGAGAAATATTTAGTTTCATACCTGTGATTTTTCAGGTGTCAATTTCAGTCACAATTTAAAAAGCCACAATTTATGTGCAGTTCCATTTTGAAGCCTCTTATACAAACTGAAGTAACTATAATGAGTTCAAATCCTAAGATACCTTGATTGAGCAGAAACCCTCTTTCCTGAAAAACTCCCTTTTATGTTTTGTTTCAGAATAAGCAAAAAGAAATCAGTATCTTTTCCATCCATCAGAAAATTAACTTGTTAATAAACCACCACTCTGAACTCTTGGTAAAAGTTTTTCCCCATGATTTTCCAGGAAGATGGTTCTAGAATGTTTATTGTTCATGTTAATTTGTCCCAAAATCTTACAGTCCATGACTTTGAGGTCTATTTTTCCCTGTGATAGTTAAAATAAATAGATCAGTTTTCATCCTCTTTTATTTAAAATAAATTTATTCAATTCCATCCTCTTTTCCTCCTTCTCCTCCTCCAAGCCTTTAAAATCCCATTTCATTTGTTACTGAAAAGATTATGTATCTTTTCAGAAAAAATTTCAGATTATTTTAAAAGATGAAAATTATGACATACTCACCTGTAGCAGCAAGGGCATGTCTCAGTCCTGCAGCAACACTCACCACCTTCTCTTTGAGAGACTAGGCAAATGAAAGAAAATTATCATTTAGTTGCTTTTTGCATTTAATGCCTCTAAAAACAAAATAGGCCAAACAGAAATGGAACACTAAGAAAATAGTGCTCTCAATTCCAGCCTGCATGTCCCAATACATATCAACATTTTGTATCACAAAGTAAGTACATTTTGACAAATAAGAGTTAGTGGGAACATCTTCAAGAAATACAAAATAAATCAGCAAAGCAACTGGATGCACAGCATTGTGGCAATAAATAAAAAACCACAGTCAAAATATTCACATGAAAGAAGAAATGTTGGCCATATAAAAATGTTTATTTCTTAATTTTAACTCAGTGGTCCTCAAGAATTACACCAAAACCTCCACATAAATACTGGTGACATGACTCGTGCATACTATGTTGTATTAAGCTGTTAAGTCTTGCCAAGTTACTGATGGAACTTTTGTTTTCAACTGGAGAAAAACCTGAAAGTTTCCCTCCACTGTAACCGATCTTGGGAATCACATAGAAATTTCCCTCTTCTGTTACCTCCCATCACATCCTATCTTGCTCTTACAGGGTTTTGCAAACCCTCTGGAAATCCATCCTTGGTGGAAAAGCAGCAGGTGTATTTAAAACAGGTGGCATCAAGCCCAAGAATTTAAGGGATACCAACCAAAAGAGCAAATATTCAGCATGAAGTTTGTATGGTGAGGGATGAGAGATTCACATCAGCCCTGTCAATACCACCCAATTTTAAGGCACCATTCTGCAATGGATGCTCTCAGGAAACATCAAGGGCACAGGAACATCCAGTGAACTAACTCCTACTCACTAGAGGTCACCTAAGGGATCAGCCATCCTCTTTCTCCTACATTAAAAAAGCAACACAGGAGCATCTGACATGAGCCATGATGCTAAATAATTTCTTGTCTGAGAAGTGAAAGAATCAAGATTCTGTTAGAAGTGGGAAACCTTTTCATACAGCAAGAAAAGCAGCCTCAGCACTTCAATTCAACTTGGGCCTTTACTTTGTAAGCTCATCTGTAGCAGATAGGCACTATAAAAAATTAGTTGAAGAGTCTGGCTTAAAGCCCATTGAGGTCAGATGACCTCTGTAAGCTGCTGGAAGCAATATAAAGCACAACACCTTCTAAATCTTTACCTCAATCTTTTGTGGAATCAAGCATGGGCCTGAAATTTGAGGAAGTCCCAGCTGTCCAAAAGAGTTTGACCCACAGGACAGCACAAGGCCAGATCCTGCAAAAAATGAAGTGTTAGAGCAGAATCAATAAAGCCAGGAGCAATAGCACTGTAACATTATAACAAGCACAATAACACAGCCAAGTAACTCAAGAAAAGACTTAACATGTCCCTTTACAAAGCCCCTGAGGCCAAAGGCTTCTGGTCTTACACACCATGTCCAGAAAAGGTCTCAAGTTCACTGGGACACAAGGAACAGAGGGTGATTTAGCTTGCAAAGCTTAAAACCCATGAGTGCCAGCACATAGAATCATAGAACAGTTTGGGTTGGGAGGGACCTAAAGATCATCCAGCTCCAACCCCCTGCCATGGGCAGGAACATCTTCCACTATCCCAGGCTGCTCAGAGCCCCACCCAACCTGGCCTTGAACACTGGCAGGGATGGGACATGCACTCCTCCACAGCTTCTCAGGCAACCCGTGCCAGTGCCTCACTATCCTCCCAGGAGAGAGATTCTGCCTAATAACTAATCTAAACCTGTCTTTTTTCAGTTTAAAGCCTTCACCCTTTGTCCTATCACTACAAACCCCTGTAAAAAGTTCCTCTGCAGCTTTCCTGTGGCTCCTTTAAGGCTCTGAAAGGTCACTGCTATCACAGATGTCCCAGGGCAGGTGCAGCCTTTAGTTTATGATGGGGCTGTGCTGCTTTGTGACCACAATGCACCATCCAATACAAGGCAGTATAATTAGAGGGGTGGTAGCTCCTTGGCTAAACCTATGTCTGATGTGCAAAATACCATGGCCTCAGTTATGCCATTTTAATCAAAGTAGGTAGTACCTTACTATTCAATCTGCTCCAGTGATGTCAGAGAGATTTATCATGTGGATGGGACTAGTCAAGGTACGACTAAGATTGATTATGGATGTCATGACTGGGTACTTGACAATGAGCTGCAAACAAGTTCTGAATCCATTACTCTTAAGAGAATTTTTGACTGTGATCATCGGTAATATTTGCTATAAAGTGAAAGCCATCTTTCAAATATGTCAGGTTTCAGAGAATGGCTAAATCCTGAACCATTGCTAAACCAAATTCCATATAAGGTTAAGAGAATTTGTCCAGGGTTAGGACCTTCTCCAGGCTGAGCAGTCCCAACTCTCTCAGCCTTTCCTCACAGGAGAGGTGCCCCATCTCTCTGATCATCTTTGTGCCCTGCTCTGGGCTCACCCCAGCAGGTCCCTGTCCTTGCTGTGCTGGGCCCCAGAGCTGGTGCAGCTGCAGGTGGGCTCTGAGCAGAGCAGAGGGCAGGATCCCCTCCCTGCCCTGCTGCCCAGGGGCTCTGGGTGCAGCCCAGGGCACCTTTGGCTCTCTGGGTTGGGAGTGCCATGGCTGGGCCATGTCCAGCTCTCACCCACAGCACCCCAAGTCCTCCTGGGCAGGGCTGCTCTGGATCTGCTCATCCCCAGCCTGTGCTGGTACCAGGGGCTGTCCTGACCCAGGAGCAGCCCCAGCACTTTGATGTGTTGAATTTCCTGAGGCTCCCATGGGCCCCTTCTCAAACTCATCCAGGTCCCTCACATCACACAAGCAATAGTGTTGTGGAATTTTCAGCATGTTTCTCTACATCAAGGTATTTCCTCAGCTCTTAAAGAGAAAGATTTACCTACTAATATGATTGTAAAATCCCAGCCACATGCAACTTGTTTTACAAAAAAGCCAGACAGGGCAGTGCACAAAGTAAAACGCAGCACATCCTCTGTGTGATTCAGTCCCAGCTGCCCATCTTTGTTGTGGCCACAGACAAAGAGTTGTCCTGCACCTGGAAGAAAAACAAACAAACAAATTGTGTTCCATTTCACAGACTAAAAAGAAACCTACTTCTGTGAGATGCTGTGACAAACAAGGACAGTGATTGTGTGTCACTTCAGGCACAACAATCAAGTAAAACTTAAGAGAAACAGTGTTTCTGACACATCAGAAATATCTCTGAATAAGTATAGCTTTGGAGAGCTGGGTCTGTCAAGGGACACAATCCATATGGTGAGACAGGCACCTCTCACATCAAGATGCTTTTTTTATCATCTTCACATCTGCCTGTATTCCTTCTTTACATAATTAGCTGTGGCATACAGCACAACCTTTCAAGGGCCACATGTTATGTCCTGGTCCTTACCTTACCACTTCTTAATATTGAATAACCTCTGACTCCTCCTTCCCACCCCCCATCCTCAATACAAAAAATTTGGGATCTTTGTATGAAAGAAACGGCTGAAGAAACAATCCTCACACAGCCACGAAGTAACCACACAATATATGAGCAACAGGCATTTCCCCCATTTCCCCAAATATTGAGTTAGCTGGAAGGAGAAGAAACTGTTTTGCAGCTAAGGATTGTACTTGTTGAGAAACAGCAGCCACAGAGAGGTGGCAGCACTGAACCAAGAGGGAAACACACCAAAAAAGCGATTAAAAGCCAAATACCCCGTGCAAGAGCAGTGTTTTTACCAGTGATAACTGCAGAATGTCCCCCTCCTCCAGCAATGCTTGCAATGTCTTTACACTTGCAGGAAACATCTTCCAGGGCCTGAGGAACCAGCACATCCTTTTTATGACGAAGACCAAGTTGTCCATAGCTGTTTGCACCCTTCAAATGCACACAGAAAAATAACACATTTTTTTAAAAGTTAACAAAAGAAGCCCACATATACTCCCAGGGACAAACAAGCATATTTGGGATATGCCACGGGTTAGCCTGCTCCTAAAAATCCCCTGATATGACACAAGATTCCCAGCATTACAGACCAGGACTGTCTCCTATCTTTGCTGTCATTAAGGGTGTCTGTGCAGCCCCGGTATTTCAAAAAGCATACTGGAATACAACCTGTTAAAACTTCAACTGCAGACGCACAGTTTATAAGGAGGAAAACCTTTCTGTCAGGATGACTACCACACCTTTATTTTAAATGATTCCCACTCATCACTAAGGTCTTATTCATGCCACTGCTTTCTGGCAGGCTACCTCCAAAATGAGAACAGAAAGACCTTTTTTTGGAACCTAAAGAAGTAAATCAGAAACATTAACTAAACTCATTAACTAAATATTTTAAATGAAAGAAATCAAAATGAAAATATACCAATTACAGGTACTAATTATATAAGTGTATAAGTATTATATAAATATAGAACTACAAAACTATAGCTACAAAACCCACTGTGGAAAGCAGCAATTGTCAACACGGTAGCAAGTCAGGGAATTTCTTAGTCAATTTCAGCTCCATGTCCAACAGTTCAACCTTCATTCACAAAAAAGGGAATACCATCACCTTCCCCACCCCACACACTGCAGCAACAGCAACACTCCAAACCCACAAAGCTCACAGCTGGTAATCCCCAGCAAATCCTATCCCTACCTCACCTGTGCACCCAATTTATCCTCCACCCATCCCGAAAGATGCAGCACCTGGTAAATGTTGAACGGCCGCATTCAGCAATAACCACTTTGTACCTACAGAAACACCGACACTTCACACAGAACCACCGGGCTGCTGTTATTCAGCAATAACCAGTTTGTACCTACAGAAACTATACAATAACTATTTTGTACCTACAGAAACACCAGTTCACACAGAAGCACCGGGCTGCCCGGCCAGCCCAGAGCCGGCAGGCAGGGAGATATCTGGAGCGAAGCCGCACCGGCACACCAAGCGTTCCCTCACAGCCACTGCCGGTGATACGCGCTTTAGAGCGTGATACTACTTAACAGGAGCAAGTCTTCTTAAAGGATGTCTCACAACCTCCCGCTTCAGCCCTTAACTCGCCATGAATTTACAAGCCTTCAAAGCCAGGAGAGCCGCAGAAGGAGCCGAGAGGCTGGGAGCCACAGGGG